TTATCATATCATTAAGGCAACACGACACGTAACATACCACGTTGAACAAAATTTCGCGCAAAGAAAAAAGTTATTAAATAAATAAATAAAAAATGGGGGAGGTTTAAGTTTGCTTTAATGATATCGTAATGATAATAATATCAGCGGGACTCCTCTAGCACCTGAACCATTATTCTGCACCTGGACGTATGCTCAGAAGTAGAAAAAAATTTTTAGTTTTTGCAATGAAAGTTGCGCGCCCAAGGTGATCGCTCAGTTAGCCTTCCTTCGCAGGGCACAACGCGAAAGAAACCACCTTCAAAAAGGTCTGTGTTAGACTGCGTTTCAGAAGCGGGAAGATTTCTCAACAAAAATTAACGTGAAAATAGCGTTCTGGATTCACCAAGATTCCTGATCACCAGAATAACGGCCATTATATTAAAATGTGTGACGTGTTGTGCCACATGTTGTTCTGTGTTCTGCAGCAATGATGTCTCTCGGTATTTTACGTAACGACGTGTGCGACACACGTGTGTTGTTGAGAGGCTCATGTCAGCTCGTCTGTCGCATCGCCTGTCACGTGACACGTGTGCTCAGGGAGACGTTTGACCTTTCTCCCCTGTGGGCCACGTGCAGGCCAAAGACTTGTCCAGTCTCTGTTCACCGAATGTGCCATGTATTCAACTCCAAAACACGCTGTTGATATTGGATATGTCGGAGAGAGAGCGAGAGAGGGGGGGGGAGAGAACGAGAGAGGGGGAGGAGAGAACGAGAGAGGAGAAGGAGAGAGAGAGAGAGAACGAGAGAGGGGGAGGAGAGAACGAGAGAGGGGAAGGAGAGAGAACGAGAGAGGGGGAGGAGAGAGAGAGAGAGAGAGAGAGAAAGAGAGAGAGAACGAGAGAGGGGGAGGGGAGAGATGGAGGAGAGACAGAGAGAGAGCAAAGTGAAGAAATGTCAGCCAGGTTGAGCGTGGAGTGATCAAAGCGAGATCCCTGCCTGCCCCTTGTTTGTGTTGGATTTGAGATACGCTCACCCTTACACTCACACCTCTATTCCCTTATCATCTACCCAAACCCCTCCTCAACCATAAAAAAATTATATCCACTTGAATACCTGCATTCGTTCTCCTTCCCCTCGAGCCTTC